AACATATAGGAAAATAATTCCTGCAATCAAAAACACTCAGTTTACAACCTGAGCATAGCTATTTGGGACTAAATTATGATTATATAATGACATTTATTTCTAAGTAAATAGGTTTAGTATTATATTAATTGCTGCAGTGTTAGATCCATAAAACTGTATATCTCCATTTAGGTCAATAGTCCTTAAGCATACAAAATTAGGATACAAATCCTATAAATATACATAAAACGACTTTTAAATTGCAGATATATGGGCAGAGCAAATTTCTGAAGTAAACAAAACAAACAAATGTAAAAGCAACTGTTACTCTATTAAATGGTCCCTGATCATGTTTCTGGTGGCTTGGGCCACCACTACTTTATAAAAAGCTCAGAAAGATGCTTCTCCCCTCCCCTCATCTGTACTCATTTTGATAGGAAGGCAACTGCTCTCAGCAGAATCATTTCCCCTGGGTGACAACCGTACAGCAGTGGAAAAATACTATATGAAAATAATGTTCAGAAATCTTGCATAGTTGAAAGGCTTACTTAACAGAAGTAAAATATTGATTGAAAAAATAACAAAAAGAAGACTTTGATGTGCAAACAATAAATACAGAAATTATTTCATTGGAGTATGTATGCAGTTCTATCTAAAACAAGCATCTAATTATTTCCACAGCATTCTAAATAATCCTTCTTTTCCAACATAAATTGGAAATCGTGGTTGTGCTACACTTTTGTATCATTTTTAAAAAATATTGCCTAGGTTGGAGCGAATGAACTCTATACAAGCAACACAGATTCTTCACTGGAAACAGTAATGAACCAGGAGATGAATGTATTTAGATCAAATAGCACCATCTAGCAGTTCCCCTAACTTCACTTAAAGGGTACACATTACTCAGAGACTGTAGCCGCTTTCCCTTTTGTAACAAAACAGGTATCTGTATAGCTTCCTGTTTTGTGACATTCCTTTGATATTTTCTGCTATATTCCATGGAAAAAAATGTTGGAGCACTAACACATTTCACTCTAAGACATAACGCTCTAAGGACAACCAAAACAGCTATGATACAGTCAAGGCCTCTACTTTAATAACTCCCATACAGGTTTCTGGACAACAAAAACAGAAGAGCTGAAGCTGTCACTGCTTGACAACAATAATAAATTACAAACCTAGCTGCACAACTTTGCCCAAGGATTTTAAAATTCTATCATTTTATCAGAGAGGAAAATAACTTTGTAAACATTTTTTAAACAGGATACATTGTTTTCAGATCCAAACATTCCAGTGCACAAAGTAAGAGATGCAAACACCAAGTATTTAAGTATTTAAGTCTTGAATATTTCAGACGAATGTTTTAGGTCTTGGGTCTGTTTCTTTGTCTTTGGAATCAGGAAGTAACTCTCCTCTTTAAAAAACGTTGCAGCAAGGAAAACCTTTAGGTGAAGGTTCAGTGCAAACTGCCTCAAGGGAAACTTCTCAACCATGTTTGGCAGATTCATTCTCTTGTCGAGGAAAGCTCCAAGTTACACACAATGATAAAACCCATACATATTAAAACCATTTCTAACGATATATTGTTGACCTCAGGTATCTCAGGCTCAGCCTATGAAGGTGACTGACTAGCAGGCTGTGGAAAGCTACAGTCAGAAAAGGTACAAAATATATGATTTCTCACTCAGGATTATTCATCTGACCAGGAATAGAACATTGCTTCTCCATATTCAAGCACTCCTTATGTCAGGCATGGGCAAACTTGGGCCCTCCAGGGTGTTTTGGACTCCAACTCCCACAATTCCTAACAGCCTCAAGCCCCTCAAGGAAGGGGCCTGCGGTTGTTAGGAATTGTGGGAGTTGGAGTCCAAAGCACCCTGGAGGGCCCAAGTTTGCCCATGCCTGTCCTATGTCCATCCAGATCAAGGAGATAGATGAGTGAAGACTACAACTTTCACTAGTAGGAACAACTTGCAAAAATCCAACTTTAGGATGGTCTTTAACTCACAAACAAATACTATATAGCAACAAATAAAGAAAACCATGCTCTTCATATTTTTATCTTATTTGAATTTATTAATATTGCCTTACAGTATAACAGCTTTGACCCATTGTTTTCTTAAAATAATCACAATAATAAGACAATCAGACCTTATTATTTGCTAATTTCTGCAGTGGTAAACATTTAAACATACACATTTTTCCATCCTTATTTTTCTAAAAGTTTTGGATGCCCCCATAACAGGTGGATCAAGGTATTGCAACAGAAATAATATATACTGCAGTAGGTAAGGTCGTTCACCAACGTTATAAGAAGACTACAAGAGCAGCACCCAGTTTACTCTTTTCTTCAACATATCCACTCCATAAGGATAAATGCACATTCCTCTCCAAGCCTGGACCCGATCTTTACCTCTTATTAATACAGAATCGTTTCTTTTGCTTAATACAACACCTCCTGCTTCAACAACAGCCCTGTCAACAACCAACAGCAGACTACAAGCTCCGATGTAATCTTACAGGCCATGCAAGACTGTGTGCAAGAAGAGCAAAGGGAGACAGGAAAAGAAAGGCTGTACTTCCGATGAAGGGGTGTGTGTGTACGCTTTATGTCATGGAGTGTGCACAAGTTGAGTGTAATGGAATGCATGTATAAACTGAATGTCCTGTAGTTTATGTGTAAACTGACTGTTGTAGAGTGCATGTATGCATGTGAGTGAGTGTTGTGGAGTGCATGTGTGTGTCGAGGGTCCTGGAAAGTGTGTGTCCTGGAGTGCATGTATGTATGTGCATTAGTGTTGTGGACTGTGTGAGCTGAGTGTCCTGGAGAGAGTGTGTCTGCATGGAATGTGCGTAAGTTGACTGTTGTAAAATGGGTGTGTGAGAGCTGAGTTTTGTGGAGTGCACGTGTGCAAACTCAATGTCCTGGAGAGAGTGCATGTGTGTTAACTGACTGTGGTGTGATATGTGTGAACAGACCGAGTGTCCTGAAGAGTAAGTCAAGTGTTGTAGAGTGTGTGCAAGCTGACTGTTGTGGAGAAAGCAAGTGTGTAACCTGAGTATCCTGAAGAGTGTGTAAGTAAAGTGCTGTGAAGTGTGTATGTGCAAGTTGACTGTTGTGGAGAAAGCATGAGTGTATGTGTGTAACCTGAGTGTTCTGAAGAGTGGTAAGTCAAGTGATGTGGAGTGTGTGTGCAAGTTGGTTGTTGTGGAGAAAGCATGTGTGCACATGTGTAACCTGAGTGTCCTGAAGAGTGTGTAAGTCAAGTGTTGCGGAATGTGTGCGCACAAGTTGACTGTCATGGAGAAAGTGTGTGTGTATGTATACACTGAGTGTCTTGAAGAGTGTGTAAGTCAAGTGTTGTGGAGTGTGCAAGTTGCTCATTGTGGAGGTGTGTGTGTACACAATGTGTCCTGAAGTGTGTATAAGTCAAGTGTTGTGGAGTGTGTGCAAGCTGACTGTTGTGGAGAAAGAGGATGTGTGTGTAACCTGAGTGTCCTGAGAGTGTTGTGGAGTGTAAGTTGACTGTAGTCGAAAAAGTGTGTGCGCGTGTACCCTGTGTGTCCTGAAGTGTGTGCAAGTTGATTGTTGTGCAGAAAGAGCGAGTGTGTATATAACCTGAGTGTCCTGAGAGTGTTGTGGAGTGTAAGTTGACTGTAGTCGAAAAAGTGTGTGTGTAACCTGAGTGTCCTGAAGTGTGTACAAGTTGAGTGCTGTGGAATGTGTGTGTGTGCAAGCTGGTTGTTGTGGAGAAAGAGCGAGTGTGTATATAACCTAAGTGTCCTGAGAGTGTTGTAGAGTGTAAGTTGACTGTAGTCAAAAAAGTGTGTGTGTGTAACCTGTGTGTCCTGAAGTGTGTGCAGGTTGATTGTTGTGGAGAAACAGCGAGTGTGTGTATAAGCTGAGTGTCCTGAGAGTGTTGTGGAGTGTAAGTTGACTGTAGTTGAAAAAGTGTGTGTGTATGTGTGTAACCTGTGTCCTGAAGTGTGTACAAGTTGAGTGTTGTGGAATGTGTGTATGCGCAAGTTGTTGTGCAGAAAGAGCGAGTGTGTGTATAACCTGAGTGTCCCGAGAGTGTTGTGGAGTGTAAGTTGACTGTAGTCAAAAAAGTGTGTGTGTGTGTAACGTGAGTGTCCTGAAGTGTGTGCAAGTTGATTGTTGTGGAGAAAGAGCAAGTGTGTGTGTAACCTGAGTGTCCTGAGAGTGTTGTGGAGTGTAAGTTGACTGTAGTCGAAAAAGTATGTGTGTGTGTAATGTGAGTGTCCTGAAGTGTGTCCAAGTCGAGTGTTGTGGAGAGTGTGTGTGGAAGCTGACTGTTGTGGAGAAAGCGCGTGCGTGTGTACACACTGAGTGTCCTGGAGTTCACAGGCGAGGGGAGGAGAGCTCTCTCCAGCGAGTCCCTCCTTCAGCGGAAGCTTCACCCCACCACTACCATCCAGACTCTTTTGTTACCAAAGTTATTCCAAAAAAACAACAACAACCCATCCCAAACCGACACCGTGACCCCGGCGGTGAGGAAAGAAGGAAGTGGGGGGAAGAACAACAGTCTGAAGGGAGGGAAGGCAGGCGGGCGCTGGAGCCCAAAGGAGAATCCTCGCTCCCTCCCGCAGCGCGAGGCAGGCAGGCAGGCAGGCGGGCACCACACTGTGGGCGCGAGCCACTTTCTCCTCCTCAGGAAACTCAAGCGGGAGACTGACGGGCTGACCCGGGGCTGCCCCGCCTGGCCCCGGCCCCACCCCCTTGGAAGGGGCCCCGCGGTTCCCTGTCCCTCCCCCGCGCGGAGAGGCTGTTCCCTGTTGCCTGACACCCCGACTCCTGGCGCCCCCTCCCCCCTCCCTCCTCCTCCGCTGCTGCTGCTGCTGCTTCTCCTCCTGGCGCGAGGCCCCGCTCTGCCTCACGCGCCAAAGTTACTTTGTGCGGGGCCTCCTTCCTTCCCTTCCTTGCTTGCTTCCCTCCCTCCTCGCGCGCCCCCCTCCCGGCCCCGTCCGGCTGCGGCGGCCCGTCGGACTGTACTACTCACTTCTCCCTGGCCTGGCTGTCGGACGGGACGCTGCTGTTGCTCTTGCCTTTGCCGTACATGCCTGCAGAGAGCTCCGACTGTCACGCACCTGTCAACCCATCACAGCCTCCCCGGGAACAGCCCAGTCGCCATGGAGACGCCGCCACACACGCGCGCCATTGGCCCGCCGCGCCGAGCGGCACGCCCCCGCCGCCGTGATTGACAGGCCGGGGAGAACCAGGGCCAGGCGGCTCTTCCCTCCTCCCTCCCCTCCCTCCTCCTCCTCCTTCACCAGCCTCCGGCTCCTCCCCCCTCCCCCTCCCTCGCGCTCTCTCCCTTCCCCGGCGCAAGGGGGAATTAGAAACGGTTCTAGAAGGATTTTAAACAACTGGCTGTTCCCTGCACTTGCCGCGCCGCCCTCCGCCGCTGCCAGAGACGGAGGCTGCTGAGGAGAGACTGAAACTGCGGGGTGGACTCTCGCTCCAGCGCTTCTCCCGCACGCCGCGCGCCGGATCGGATCGGATCGGATGGGGCTTCTCCTCCTCCTCCTCCTCCTGAGCGGCAGCCGGAGAGAGGCGCCTTCCTGCACTTGCCCCGCAAAGGGGACCCCAGGGGCCTCGCCGCCCAAGCAGCAACCCATGAACACACACACACAGAAATGTGTGTGAGTGTGCCACACAGTAAACACACACACACATGTATATCGACACAACCCGTGGCCACACAACTGATACACAAGCACATGTATCTGCAAGCACAAACCATGACCACACAAGGAACGCACACATATATGCGTGCACACAATACATGTCACACAATACACATGATTACAAGTGTCACACAGTCACAATGCACACACATAGATACAAACAACCCATGACTACACAATTGACATACAAGCACATGTATCTGCATTCACAATCCATGACCACACATATACACAAACACAATCCATAACCACACAATTAACACACAAGCACATATATCTGCATGCACAACCCATGGCCACATGTGTGTGACAAACATTGAACACACACAAATATAGATACATACACACAATCCATGACCACGCAATCAACACACAAGCATATGAATCTGCATGCACAACCCATGACCACATGTGTGTCAAACACTGAACACATACAAATATAGATACATACACACAATCCATTACCACACAATCAACACACAAGAACATGTATCTCCATGCACAACCAATGGCCACATGTGTGTCAAACATTGAACACACACATAGATACATACACACAACCCATGACCACACAGTTAACACACAAGCACATATATCTGCATGGACAACCGATTACCACATGTGTGTCAAACATTGAACACACACAAATATAGATACTCACAACCTGCAACCACACAATTGACACACAAGCACATGTATCTGCATGCACAACCCACGACCACATGTGTGTATATCAAACATTGAACACACATAAATATAGATACTCGCAACCTGCAACCAAACAATTGACACACAAGCACATGGATCTGCATGCACAGTCCATGACTGCATGTGCATGTCACACATTGAACACATACACACATATACATACACAATTCATGACCTCATATATATGCGTGTGTGTGGGTGTGTATGTGTGTCACACAATAAATATCTATAAATACACGAACTATAAATACACAACCCATGACCACATATGTGTTCGTCACACAAACAATACACACACACATACTATTACCACATAGAATCGTAGAGTTGGAAGAGACCTTGTGGGCCATCCAGTCCAACCACCTGCCACGAACTAGTAAAATCACATTCAATGTACATAAATTGCTTGTTTATGTAAGTGAGTCATACAATTGACATATGTGTGTGTGTCACGCAATGGACACACAGAGTCAGGTATACAAGACTCCTGCAGCTCCCCTTCCAGTCAAAACTCACCAACATCCTGCTCCCAACAGAAAAGTTACCTCAGGAAAGCTCTCTCTCATCAACCACAAACATGACTACCACATCATCGGTGGCCACACGCTTTGCCCTGTCTACACCGACCACTGAATGCAGTCCTTCCATACCGGTTCGAAACTGTGTGAAATGGACAGTGGCCTTTGTCAGCCCCTTTGAGAGAGTAATGGATAGTCCTCAGCTTCTTGTTTTCTTGAAACATTGCCAGAAAAACCATTTCCAGGCCTCCTTCTCGGTCAACAGAGTTTCCCCTAATATCAAGGAAGCTCTTGCATCTTATTTTTTCCTCCTTTACCAGCTTCTCTCTACTAAGAAAGAAAAGGATGGAAGAAGCAAAAGGGGAAACCAAGGAAGGTTGCAAAGTGAGACAGATAAGCAGAGCGACTGTCACAGACTGCTGTGTTTTGAGACCACTTTCTGCAGACTCTAGAAGTGTTTTCCAAAGGCCTCCTGAGGAAGATTTAATGGCGCAATTTCCTGCCTCACTCCATTTTACAGAAGGTCCAGAACAGGGATAAGCCAACTTGGAGCCTCCAGGTGTTTTGGACTTCAACTCCCACCATTCCTAACAGCCTCAGGCCCCTTCCTTTTCCCCCTCAGCTGCTAAGCGGCTGAGGCTGTTAGGAATGGTGGGAGTTGAAGTCCAAAACACCTGGAGGCCCCAAGTTGTCCCATGCCTGGTGTAGATCTACCCTGTGTCTTACCAAGTTCTTCTTATCTTCTTATCAGCTTGGGAGTGATCCTGGATTCATTCCCAAGCTGATAAGAAGATAAGAAGAACTTGGTAAGACACAGGGTAGATCTACACCAGGCATGGGACAACTTGGGGCCTCCAGGTGTTTTGGACTTCAACTCCCACCAGGCTTCCTGAGCCTGGAACCCTAGGTTTCGGAGCTTTTGTGCAATTAAAACTTGTGCGCCTGCTGCGCCCGTACCTCAGGAAGCCTGGTCTGGCCAGGGTGGTCCACGCTCTGGTTAGATCCTGAATAGACTACTGCAATGCACTTTAAATGGGGGTTGCCTTTGAAGACTGTTTGGAAACTTCAACTAATCCAACGGGCAGCATCCAGGTAACTAACTGGAGCAACATACAGGGAGCACACCACCGCCCTGTTGTGCCAGCTCCACTGGCTGCCAGTCCACTTCCAAGCACAATTCAAAGTGCTGGTATTTGCCTATGAAGCAGTATATGGTTCCGGCCCAGCTTACCTGTCTGAACGAATCTCCCTCTACGTCCTGCTTCGTAGCTTAAGATTGTCCAGGGAGGCCCTGCTCTCGGTCCCTCCAGTCTCGCAAGTGCGCTTGGCGGGGACAAGGAACAGAGCCTTCTCAGTGGTGGTCCCTCGCCTATGGAATTTGCTCCTCAGTGAGAGCAAATTCCCTCCTTTCTTTTAGGAAGAAGGTTCCCTCCTTTCTTTTAGGAAGAAGGTTCCCTCCTTTCTTTTAGGAAGAAGGTTAAATCATGGCTCTGGGACCAGGCCTTTGGACAGCAAGCATGACAGCACCTTGGATATTGAACCGGACTGAAATTGGCTATGTGGTTGATGACAATGTTTTTAATGTTTTATTTACTGTTTTAAACTGTTGCTATTTGTGTTTATATCTGTATTATACTGAGGCTTCAAACTGTGGCCAGTTTGTAAGCCGCCCTGAATCCCCTCTCGGGGGTTGAAAAGGGCGGGATAGAAATAACAGAATTAAATAAATAAATAAATGGATATTCCTTATGCTATAGTTCTTAAGAGATGCTGTCCATGTACTCTTTGCCTTGCGAAATTTAAAATGCAGCTCTGGTCCTTGGGAATTCTGCTACGAAACCGTAGTCCAAACAAATTTAAAATCAGCTCACTGCCCGATTGTGAAAATAATATCCAGGTTGATGCCTGGCTGTGGCATGTATTTGATAGTAAACAAATACCATGGGCCAATGTGATAGGGAGAACATCAGATGTCAGACTGTAATTCAGGGGGATCCACTCCCTGATAATTCATTTCTTTGATATATTGAAAACTTGCAAAAAAACCAAAAAAACCCCCAAAAAACCAACACACAACAGAATTGTAATTTTCACAAAGCCGAAAGCAGGGATGGTCCTGAGGTGTGTGTATAGAGAGTAAATGCATGGAGCCTGCATGTTAAAAAAAAGAAAGAAAGGATTGGAGGGCAGGAAATTACATTGCTGTCAGCCCAAGTCCTGCCCCAAGTAGAAAGATTTGAGGAATAGAAGCAGAACAAATGCTGTCGGGGAAGAACCGAAGTGATGTCTTCTAATGAGGATTGTCCATCCAATATTTTAGGACTCTTTGCAAAAAGTCAACACATACCTAGATCTGACAGATTTTATATACAGTAGAGTCTTACTTATCCAACATAAATGGGCCAGCAGAACGTTGGATAAGCTAAAATGTTCGATAACAAGGAGAGATTAAGGAAAGGCCTATTAAACGTCAAATTACGTTATGATTTAACAAATTATCAAAACATCATGTTTTACAACAAATAGACACAAAAACCAGTTTAATACATGATAATATTATGCAGTAATTACTGTATTTATGAATTTAGCACCAAAACATCTCAATGTATTGAAACAGCTGTGGATCCGGGGCGGGAGGCAGACTGCATTGGATCATACAGACCGTTGGATGAGCAAAGGTTGGATAAGCAAGACTCTACTGTACCTGTGCTTTCAAAAAACAATTGGCAAAATTAGTGGAAAATTCCTAGAAACACTTAGAAGGGATGAAGTAAAGAAATAGTCCTCTCATGTAACTGGTTTAGAATAACAGGAAGTATAGGGAAGGAATTAATAAATAGTGTACACAATAGAGGGAAGTAAGCAATGGGATCCATTAAGGATACATATTAGAACTGGTGCTATTTTAACATTCCCAAATGATATGAAGATGGGGAAACAGCGAACTCGTCACACTCCAGACAATGCCTAATTATTCAGGATAACAGAACCCTAAATAGATTGTTAATGAGCTTCAAAGTATGCCTTCAGTCTGGCTGAGACTCAGTGTTAGGAAATAAATACAGTCACTGTACAAAGTAAAGTAAATTGGGACAAAGACTTATAAGTTCATCTATACACAAAGGAGGGCTACATTTATTATGACTATCCAGGGGAAGGGAAAAACTACTGGGTTTATGAAAGAAATGTGAAATCAGAGGGGCTGCAAATGTATAAATTCAG